CAGCCCAGTTGTTTGCCCAGCTGGAAGAGAATGGCCCATTCAGGGGCCTGGATTCTGTCCCAGAAGGGAACACCCTCTGGGAGCATCTCAGGCTCTCAGACCAGACGGAGGGCTGGAGCCCACCAGACAGACACGATATCCACGAGGGGGTCCAGCCAGGCAGAGCTACGGCAGCTGGAGACTAAGCTACTGCTGTAGGAATTAGAGGACCGCAGAGAGGAACACCAGGATTGAGAGGGGAAGTGGCAACATGAGCTGGTCATGGTGGAGCAGAGAAACCGAGGGGCTCCAGTTGGACCCCAGGGAGCCCGGGGTGTCCAGACGCTTGGAGAAGCTTGTTTTGGCCCAATGTAAGAATGTGGGAGACATGGACGGGTTCCTTAGCTCCTTTGAGCGAGCCTGTGAACTGCACCAGATTCTCCCAAGGGACCGGATCCAACAGCTCACCCCCTTGCTGGATCAGGAGGCCGCAAAGGTGCTCAATCAGCTGGAGAATTTGCAGCTGGGTGATTATGAACAGGTCAAATAGGCCCTGCTGCACAAGTTCGGGCTGACCCCAGAGATGTACAGGGAGAAGTTCCGGGGGGTGCAGAAGGGGCCATGGGAGACCTATGTGGATCTGGCCTCCCGCCTGGTGCAATACTGCCACAAGTGGGTGTTCGGGGTTGGAGCCCAGACTGCACAGGACCCAGGGCCACATTATGATTTTGCGAGCCCTAGGCATTTTGCCTTCATGGGCCCCTTCCTCTGACTGATGTAAGAAGTGTCCAGTGTAGCTGGTGTCCCTCTGTCTCTGAACCCTCATTTTGGCCCCACCCCAGAGTCTGCCCCCCACCAAAAAATCTACTCTCTCTCCGGAAGAGTTAATCGGGCCCTGGTTCTAGGAGGGGGCAGCGATCGACTCATGGCTGGGGCCCTAGGCATTTTGCCTTCATGGGCCCCTTCCTCTGACTGATGTAAGAAGTGTCCAGTGTAGCTGGTGTCCCTCTGTCTCTGAACCCTCATTTTGGCCCCACCCCAGAGTCTGCCCCCCACCAAAAAATCTACTCTCTCTCCGGAAGAGTTAATCGGGCCCTGGTTCTAGGAGGGGGCAGCGATCGACTCATGGCTGGGCAGTAGGACCTGCTCGCTTGGGAGTGTCTCCCCAGTTTTCTGATCAAAGGGCGACAGAATTGCGGGGCCCCTAAGCAAGGTGAAGGGCAGCCCCGGGATTCCAGAAGGGGGGTG